TAAAGTTAGAAAGCAGCTACAAATGTCAGTAAAAAACCAAAAACGAATAACTGTTTATTTCAGTATAAATCAGTCGGTTTAGTGACGAGACAACAGTTATTTTTCTTTCTTTTTACTGTTGTTATTTTACTATGTATAGACGGGCGATGGATTTATCACAGCCTTTCTCTTTCTCTATTGCTAATCGTTCGTTTAGTTATGGATGCTACTCACTCGAAGTAACGTCATCGAGTAACGTCTCTATCTTATTCTTTCGTCTGTTTTCTCTCTTTTCTTTCTAAACATAATTCTGATAATTTTTGCTTGAGAACAATTAAATAGTTAAAACAAAATCGAACGTCTAAAGTTGAATAAGGGCAATTATCAAGGAAGAATATTAGTTAGGCATTAGCTGCTGGCCTAATAGCCCTAATACATGTATGTGCATTAAAATGTGTACGAGAAAAAAGGTCTCATATACCTCTGGACTTCTTTTTATAAAGCAACATAAACATTCAACACCACGTAACTTTTGAGCAAAAAGCGAAATCTGTTACTTTTTCTTACCGTAAAAAGGAAAAATTAGCAATCACTACTGCTAAAATCTTGTTCACACAGAAAAATAAACGTGACACTTAAGTGTCACTTAAAGTGGCTGTCACTTACAAGTGTGTGCACCCTTTTAGGAGGTCGTTTTCCCCTTGGATTTTAGGCAGTTACAATAGTTGCTAGAATAGTCGCTTAGAATAGTTGCTCCTATGTTCATCCGATAGAGAACAAATGAAAAACCGATCTTGTTATACATTCATGTCTTGCTTTTATGAGAGTCGAAAAAATTCTCAGTAACTGACAATGGCAGTATATCAACATAAATGATCGAACATAAAGGTGAATGTGCAACTAAATAAAGCGTACAATGCCAACTATTGTCTCACTCGAACCGCCGAATATTTATTTTACGACTTTCTTCTTCTCCAATCAACTAGAAAATACTTACTCTCTCCACTACCATCGACTGTTGCACTCGCATCAAATAACATTTGTCTTCCGATTATATCAACCGGAATCAATTCTTCATCTTTCATTGCCATCAAATTAGCCCATCGCTCCACTAATTCAGCACTAAGTGTAAACGATGACAATGTATCTACATTCGACGACGTTGTCAGAGATAGATTTGAATAGTGAACGGACGAGATAAAAGAAACATTCGCAGGTATCGCAGAGTTTACAATAATGTTAATAAATATTTTTTTGATCCTTCTTGTGAACGTAATGTAAATAAATCTGCAATGTTCAACAAAATTAGCTTGCTTGTGAAATCAATTGGTGCCACATATTCGTTTTCATCATCACTTCCTTGTTGTTGTTGATCATCTCCTTTACTGGAATTCGGAGTCGGTTCAGTAGTTTGGCCTAAAATTCTAGTGGACCATCTTTTTGTTATCTTTTGAGTACTTGTTAACTTTCGTTTACGTTTTGGTGCCATTTTTAAGATGAATACAAAAATAACGCGTGCAAAATGTGCAAAAGAATACTGTACAAAATACACGAGAATAACTATTTTCAACCTTTATACACATTTCTGGTTACTGTCAGCAGTCCAGAGTAGACATAGACCCGAGCAGTCTAGAAATGTCGTGATGCTAATAATCAAATTCTGGCCAACCACAGTGAGCCGTAAGATATCGCTCCTCCACAATCACAGGTGTAAATATATTCAAAACGTTTTCCTCAATTGCTACTCAAGGTTTAGGTTGAGCTTCCGAAGATCCTCTGAAGGTCCTGAAACATTACCGGCGTATCCCTCAACAACTTTAATCCATAACTCGTCATTTTTATGAGTTTTGAGCGAAAATAACAAAAGTAGAAAAAATCATTCCACCGTTTTTCGTGAAAATAGCATCTCTTCAAAGAAAATTCATATCTCACGAAATAGCGAGAATATTTTAAAACGGATACCCACTTTTGTTCTACGTTTCAAGGCGGTTCGAATGGCGCAAGAATGAAGGTTCTATCTCTCAAACGATAGGAGTAGATAGCTTTTGCGAGCGGAGGTGGTCGCTTCGGAGCATTTGAGAGCTTGGTGAGGAGGGAAGAATTTCTGGCTGCTCAAAAACCTTGAAACACACTCCTATAAATGTAGTTTAAGATGAGAATTCCGAATATCACCTCGGCGACCTTCCACGATGCTCACAAGCTGAGATATTACATATTGTTCAAAAACTGGCAAATTTTTCGCAAAACTGTCGCTTTTTCATTTTTTGAACTTTTTCGTTAGATGTCGCGCACTGAAAATCTGCTAACTAAGATATTTGTGATCAGCGTAAAATTCTGCGTCGAATGATGTATGTATGGATCAAAAATGAGAATGTTGTTTGCACTCTGAGTTTGGAGCACCTTATCAATTCAAGAATTAATAGTCAAAGATACTTTAAAGGGTGTCAACAGATTTTGTAAACCCAGTCAATTTTTTGTGGTAAGAGGTGAAACCTTGATTACGCCACATTAGATTCGCCTTCCCACAGGCAATAAAAGTATAAAAGTACAAAGCTCTTTTTCTGAAATCCCTCTCGATTGCTGAGAAATTTCAGTTTTTCTGAATGAGATGCGAAAAATTCGGCATTGTGCTTGTGATTCTCGATTTCTTTTATCGGAATCCAGCTTTTATGAAATAAAAACTTTACATTCGGAATCAGGATCGAAAGCTGAGTCGATTAGTGTGTATTTCGAAACTTTTAGTGAAATCTTAATAATTTTTTATTTTTTGGTGCAGAATAGACTGCAATCTAAAATCCAGTTAATCGATTTGAAAATAAAAACCCAGAATTGAACGAAACCGAATATACCGGTAGCGGTGCATGCACAGTTTTTAGCTTAGAAGCAGCTTTCTTCGAAATGATAAACCTGTTAACTCACGAGCAAAATATTTTAAAAATCGGTTTACTTTAACGATGAACTACTATTGTTTCAAAATATAATGCGTCTCATTATTTTTTTAAGTCAGTAACGAACGGTGATCAGCATATATATTGTATAGCATATATATTGCATATGTATTGTATTTGTGAAAATATTGCATGAAATTCTAAATGAGTGAGGTGGATAGAGAACAAAATTCTCTATCCTTCTAATTTTGAAAGTAACTCCCAAAATTCGAAGCCACCAGCTATCCTGGTTCATGAGTTAGACCGGTATTCTTATACTCTCGTAGCGTACCGTAGAAAAATAATTCATCACTTTTCAAAAGAATTTTTATTAAAATTAGAGCAAGTTTACAATATGTTTTTACAATATTTGAAATTAGTATTTCATACTCTTCTCATATCCTTATTTCACAACTTTCGTACTTTCCGGTAGTTGTCTATTTTGTTGTGTTTTCTGTAACAGAAGAACAACTACCGAAACGGGGTGAAATTATTGAAATTTCGGTTTCCAGCACACCATCTGCTTTAAAACTTCTATTTAAAGACCACGAGAAAGAGCATACTCAAAAGTACAAAAAAGAACCTAGTGCTCACTTTTGGTACACTTTTTGCAGAAATGACAGCAGAAGAAAACAGTTCAAGTCGAAAAAAATACCAAATATACGAAGTTTTCAGTTTTTCCGCCTTTTGCATAGTTCTCTTGATTGAAGTTCTAAAACTAAAGTTTGTGTATGAATTTGTAGAGTATTTCGTGGCGTATCTTTTAAAAATAACACTCAGTGTTATTTTTAAAAGATGAATCTTAGGATTGAATCTTAGGATCCTAAAGGGATACGAGAAAAATAGAAAGTCCTAAGAGGCTCATTCACTATGACGCACTTGATAGAAACCTCCATAATTTCACAGCTAATAATCATCATACGAAAAATCAATTATACTTATCAATCCCATTTTCGATGAGCTTTCATTTGGTATATAATTCGTTTTGATATCATTTGTCGTTTGAGCTGTACCTCCTTGGAATAATATTATTTACCACCCTGTATAGATAAATACAC